GATGCGGGGCTTGATCCCAGGACCCTGGGATCATGACCTGAGCTGAAGGCAGTCGCTTAACAACTGAGCCACCCAGGCGCCCCAGGAAAACACTTTCAAAGGAATCTCACCCTGAGCCGCCACCCTAAGCCATTCAGGGGAGACCCTGCATCCAGAACACTGACTTGACTGGCTCCAGTCAATGAAGAAAGCCCATGGAGGTAAAGGCTCGCGGTGGGGCTTCTCAAAAGAGAAAAAACATAAACTACAAGATGAAAACACAAACGGTATCCCTTTCTGAGTAGAGAACCATGTTAGATTTAGTTCAGAAGTAGAAACACTCAAAGTATCATCTTCCTCTTTCTTCTCCAGCTACCAAGAAGACAGGAAGAACGCAGGTCTTCCGAGGACTGGCATCAGAAAAGCAAATTAAGGACTTCCTTATGATCAGCAGGAAGCAGTCAGGCTAGTTAGGAACTTGACTGAAGAAACAAAGCTGTCCATTGACTGCGGATTGACTGTGGGGAAGAGCCTGAGGGTCTGGAGCCCAGAGACCGCCCCTACAGAGTTGATTCAGGTAAGAGAACCAAGAATCATGCGATTCCGTATGGGCACCTGGAGGTAGGACTCAGGTGATGACAGCTAATGACTAATGAGAGTCCACCAATGTCTACCTGTGTTAATTTCGTTTAAAAACTTGCCCTATATAAACAGTTTACTATAGACTCTTAATGTTTATTAGACTTAGCCATTTAATGAAAAGGTTATATTCTTACAGATTAAAAATAAACAAAATATGAAAAATAGTTTTAAATTGGAGCAAGTCATAAGAGCAGTCATTATACATCAAATCATTATAAGAGCAAGTCATTTTAGGATTAAAAACTGAAGCAAGTGTTGGAGAGTTCCCATCGCTGCCAAGTCACCCTACTGAATCAGAGAAAGTACCTATGAGGGAAAGATTCCTAAGAGTTAAGTTGGAATTATAATGCAGGAAAAGGGAGGCAGGTAGAAGGCTGAGAGTCCAATCTGTGTAGTTTTTAACTCTTTGTTTATTCATTAATTACTGACTGAGTGTCTACTGAGCCTGGCATCTGGCACAAGGGATAAAGCAGTGAGTAAGTAAGGCAAGATCTCAGTCCTCAGGACCCCACGTTCCAGTGGCAAGGGACAGACAGAAACTAGTCGGCAAATAGATAACCAAGACAAGTTCAGGTAGAGAGGGCACTCTGGAGAAAATAAAATACAACAGTGTAATGGAGACTGGCTGGAGGAAGACCCTCTAGACTTTGAAGATGAGGAGACGAGAAGGTCTGGGCAGCTTACAGACATTCTTTCTCTTCCTTTTCACAAGAACCCTCTGAAATCGGGATGCATCCCTGATTACACATGGTTCTGAGGTTCTGAGGTTCAGGGTGGTTAAGTAAGCCGGAATTCAGACTCAGGCCCCCCAACTCCCAAGCCCAGGCTATTCCTATCAGACTCCGCAGCTGGCAAATGCCCCAGTGTGTTCTCTCAACGAATTCCTGAAACCAGTTCTACCCATATTGTCCCAAATGCCTGCATATGACCTCTTGAAAGACAAGTAGGTGAAACAGAAGACAGCTTCAGAAAGGAGTGTCTAGAAAGTGATTTTTGTGGGTGTCTCAGCTGCCTTTTCTTGACTCTTTATATGGGAGGGAGGGCAGAAGCTGGGGTCGAGCTAGCAGACGAAGCTCCGGAAGAGATAATGTAATGTCAACAGAGGCCAACAGACTGAAAGCTAGTGGGTTAGCCGCGTGTTCTGGAAAGCTCCTTTGGGTGGAAATTCTAGTACTGCTCACCACAAATAACAGTTCAAACCTTGATATGGGCTGCACATGAATGCCACAGCAGAAAGCTCAGGGAGGAAACACTGACTTGATTAAATTCAGTGGAATCAGATGGAGAGATGCTAGCTGAGTGGTTGGAGCCAATAAATAATTCATGGATTAAGAAAGATCATTACTAAATCGTACTCTAAAGTCATTCCTCAAGCCATAGAGGCCTTGGGTTATACTATAGCAACAGAGAGAGGACATTCAAGGGGCTATTCTGATGCTGAAATCAAACCTGAGGAGAAAGCTCACTCAGCGAGTACGGGAAACATCTAGACTTTGGTCTCTATTTATACGGATGGATAGGAAACACGAAGACTTGGACTGAGAGAAAACAGTCACGAGTGGTCTGCCCTACAGTGTCTGGGCAGCTGGACACTGAAGGTCCAGGGTGAAATTAGCCTCCTAATGTCAGTCACCCCAAATGACTTGAGTTCTGTGTAATAAGCACGTATTGTTTTTACAAAAATGATAGTCCTATGTGTTAGATCTCCAGCCTCCCTTCCCCCCCACCCTCCCCAAAACACACTTCATTTCCTCCTCATAAACAAAGGTCATGATTTTGCTTCCCTCTTCCTGGCTAGTGGGAGCTCAGAAATGTTCAGACACAATTCTGACTAATCACAGTACTCTTTTGTCCTCTCCCCTCAGGCTGCCTCCCTTGAAGAAAAGCTTTGTTATAATCGGAATCATCCTAAGAACTAAATGGCAACAAAATGGCTCTCTACTCCCTCTTCCAATCACAACTGTTCACTGCTGGCCCAGGCCACCCCTCCCTCCTCGGGGTTTCTGAGATTTAATCCTGCATCACCCTTCCCCTCCCACACACGCACCCCGGGGAGACTGAGCCTTTGGTGGAGCAACTGTCTTTGCTGACCCTTTCTCCTGTTCTTGGGTGTTCCCCTGCTTCCTGTCCAACTCTTGACCATGCTCCCTCTTTCTTTCCAGAGTTAACTCTGCATGAGTTCACAGACTTCAATCCCACCAAGGGAGAGCCCCATCCCAATTCATCGTCCTTACACCAAGCCTCCTGAACACCGGGGACTTTTACTATCTTTACCACGGGCGTTAGTGCTTATGTTGGTGTCTTTCAGGTTTGAGCAATTTTGTAATAGTTACTGTATATACCCATGAGCATGTTGACTTTTTCTAATGGCCAGTAGAGTTCAAACTCTTCAAACGCGAAGTGGGCTGGGCAGGTCTACTTTCACACTTCCGCCAGGCTCGGTGGAGTGCTTTGCCCAGTGACTCAGCGACCAGACCCCAGGGACCACTCACCATTCCTGCCGTCCATGGGCACTTGGCTCAGCACAGTTAGGCCGGTGAGGACATAGTAGACAAGTCCAAAACAGTACTGCACGACGTGAATCACAGCATTGGAGAAGACACTGACATAGAAGCATTCGAAGAGCCTCCGCAAGCTGTGTAGCCACAGAAATACTAATACTAAGAATGCCGACAGCGCCAGCTCACCCCCTATAATTCAGAATGCAACATGTTAGCATCTCTCTTTCTGGGATTAATGCAAAGTTATATTTTTTTTTCCTGCTGTTCGACAGAGTATTATATAAGAATAGAGCTAGGAGAGGGCCCTAAAAATCATCTAGCCTAACACTTTTTTAGTCAGGAGGAAGTGGGCCAAGTGAAGGTAAGGAATTTGACTAGTGACAAACTCAGGTCTCTGGACTCTCCTTCGTCATGTGAAAGCCTTCTGGTTACATGAATGTCACTGTGAAGGAGTCGGTGCACTCAGAACCTGATGTCTGTGGATCTCTGGTTCCTGGCACTAACAGCCAGAGGCAGATGGTCAGGAAGAATGCCCGATGACCTCTAACAACCCCACCTGGTGGGATCCCTGGGTCAGGGGAGACGAGACACAGGTACCCGGACAGGCAGAAAAGGGGACAGGAACAGAGACAGAGGGAATTATGCATTTCTCTCCATATTCAAAAAAACAACAACAACAAAAAGAAAATTATACTTTCAGGGGACCGTGAGCCTTGAGATCTGTCTTTCTACCTGCCTCTCACCCTTCTGCCAAAAAAATTTGGAAGAAATGCTCGTTTTTAAGATGACATAACACCAAATGTTTGTTTTTGTTTTTTTAAAATAGATTTTTATTTATTATTTTGACAGAGAGAGACACAGCGAGAGAGGGAATACAAGCAGGGGGAGTGGCAGAGGGAGAGAGAGAAGCAGGCTTCCCGTGGAGCAGGGAGCCCGATGCGGGGCTCGATCCCAGGACCCTGGGATCATGACCTGAACCAAAGGCAGACACTTAATGACTGAGCCCCCCAGGTACCCCAACACCAAATGTTTTTTAAATGAACGTCGCACATACACACACACATACACACACACACATCCTAAGAATATAATAAGGATACAGTTTAACAAATTTTTACAAACTAAACCATCCTATTCCACCCATATACTCAGCACCCAGATGAAGAAACAGAACACAACCAGCACTCCTTTGTCTCTGCTCCAGGCACTGCCTCCCCCTCCCCCCCCAACAAGGGTAAGCCCTATCCAGACTTCTAGTAGTACAGAATAGCTTTGGCTCTTTTTCTATTTTAAATACAGTAAATCCTAGTTTTAACTCTTGAGGAAAGGGTTAAAACAAATATACGAATAAAACTCCTCACAACCAACCTTCCAAATTCCAGAACCCCAGCTAGCCCCACAGTAAACAAAGGGAGAGATGAAGTTTTAATGGGTGAAAATGGATCTGCTGAGGTCTCCACCCCTCCCAAATAGGATCTGCATAGGTCTTCCCTCTGGCTGTCATCTTTTGCGAGTTCCTCTGGTTATACAGAAAAGGATTGCTCCCTTGGAGCCAGTGGTTTGGCTGCTGGAACAAAGGACAGAGACAGCACCAGTACAGTCTGTTTCTAATTCTGCCCTCACCTTCTCCCTTGACATTGAGGCCACCTTATGGTTTTCACCTTCAATTCCTGATTTCTAAAATTGTTCCATATATCCTTTATGCGAGGTAGAGTGAGGTGAATTTAAAGGCTATTTTATAATCATGTGGTCAACAACTATTTAGAGTCAATTTTATTATACAACTAACGCTTACAGTATAACAAACATTTTTAACTGGTGATCAAGAGTAATTTTCTATTATATTTCTGGGGTTCTGAGACATTATTTTGGTTCAACTAGAGAAATGACAAATGTTTCAAGGCAAACCTGACGGATCCTAAGAGCTCTTCCACTGAAGTGTAAAGATTTCTGTATAAATTTATCGATAGGACTAAAAATATCAGAGGGAGAACAGCCAGTCTCGTACACAGCATAGCACTTGCTGGGAAGGCAGGGATGGAAGAGCTGACTCGCGGTCTGCTGGGATCTCAGTGAGGGACATGGAGACATCCCAGTGGCCACCGGGCTAGGAACCATGCAGAACTCTTTTTTTGCCCTCACCCTCTACTTCCTGGGCCCACAGAGGAGGAACCTGGGGGTGGCTGTGAAATACCAGGAACAGCTGCCTGCAGGCAGGAAAGGCAGGAACAGGACGAAACGGTTAACTAGCCAGTGGAGTCGTACCTTGGAACTGGGCAGCCCCGAGAATACTGAGCAGACCATGAAGCCAATTTGGAAAAGGCACTCCCAGGAACAGAGACTGAGTAAGGTGCCAAAGCAGGAAGCCATTCCACAGCACTGAGATGATGTAGAAGTGAGAAAAATACCTGCAAGGTTAAACCAGTTAAGCAATCATCAGGGGAGGTCCACTTGAAAGCATTATGCAGGAAGACTACTTTGAGGCTCCAGAGCCTCTTTCCCCCTTTCCCAAAGTATAGTTTTGTTTTTTAATAGAACCTGAACCCTGCAGGCGTTCAGACTTTTACAAATCTCCTTTCAGATGATGGGACCTGTTAACTCAGGAAAAAGAGGCCTCCGGAGGTTAACAAGAACGTGATTGATCTTGTTAAACGTGGATAGAGGGTCAATTAGCAATCTCTCTTATCTCTGGGTAACAGGATTGGCTCAAGTTCCAACAGAGGGGGCACCAGACCCTGGCAAAAAGAACCTAGATTGTGCCAACAGAAGCCAAATGTGTGAAAGATTTCTAAATCCTGAGCAATGTTGCTGCAATAGCCATCCAACTGTTACAAAAGATTTGCAAAACCACAAGCTCTCAGGGCTGCCAGAAACCTTAAAGGTCTTCTGATTCAGTGTTTTCCTAAATTGTGTTGACCTAAATTACTTTTATAATAACATGACAAATTTTAACTCATAAAACGAGGGATCAACGCCTGATGGTTACACCTCTCATCAAGTACAGTGCCTATTTTGCAATCAACAGTTATAAACAAAATCCAAATAAAACCAGAGCCAATGGACGTTGAAATTAGCAAGGTTACTTTAATGTGAAAGAGGATGCTGGTTTACTGAAATGAAATCACCTACTACGGCACAAAGGCCTAACACAGGTTCTTTTGAGGTCCCTTTACCTATTCTTCTCCTAGTTTTCTTTATTTAAATCAATTCAAAATCTTTCTGACTCTGCAGGGAGTCCTCCCTGGTCTTCAACACATCACTTTGTATTAAGCTTCTTCCTCGTCACAACAAAGTAAATCGAGCTCAGGGATTCTTCTCCAGATGATCCAGATGTTTGTATCAGAATTTAGTTTACCCCTCCCCTCCCCAGACGATGCCCACAACCCAGTCTGACAAATACTGATCTAATCTGATCATTCCAGAGCAACCCACTTAATTCTTCCAACTACTGTTACAAATTCTATCACTAGATCTGCCCTTGCTGAGCGAGCCTGTTGTTCCTGATTGCGATCTTCTCCGGGCTTAAGAGCTTAGTTTCCTCAAAAGTTCACCTGTGTCACTTCCAATGCTCCCTCCCCCACCTGGCCACTGGTTTTTGGTTGCCTTCCAGGGTCTTTCTTAAGACACACTTCCTAGAACTGAGCCCAGGTATGGTGCGAGCTGCAGGAGCAGAACAGAATGTCAGCAGGACCTTGCTTTGAAGGCTTCCACACAAAGGGGAGGGGCCGACTTTTGAAAAGCATCTTCTGGACCAGCCGCTCTACCTACTTCCTTTCTTCACAAATACTTGAGAGCTTAGAATGTGCTGGGCAGTGTTCTAGGATCTGGGAACTCAGCATGGAGCAAACAGACCAGGTCTCTGCCTTGATGTTTACCTTTCAGCATATGGTCAACAAAGGAACCTATAGTTACCTAGCCTAATATTGGGTTAGGGGGACAGAAGGGGTGCAGAGGGGAGGCCATTTGGATGCGTAGTCAAGGATGGTCTCTCTAGAAGTGGATATTTGGCTAGAATGAATAATCCCAGTGAACTTCTAGTGGAAAGAATTTTCTAGGCAGAGGTAATGACAACCGCAAAGGCTCTGAGGAACAATAAAGGACAACTGTGTGACAAGGACACTGGCTTTTATTCAGTGTGATGGGGGGCCATTTGTAAAGAGTGACTTAAATAGCTTCTGTTTTAAAATCCTTCTGGCTAATGGGAAAGTTCTGGAAATGGACAGTGGTGATGGCTGCACAACAACGTGAATGTATTCAACACTAACGAACTGTACACCTGAAGAGGATCAAATGTTAGGTGTTATGTCATGTATATTTTACCAGACACACACATACACAAAGCATTGCTCGTTCATTTCACTCTTTTTAAAGTTAAAAAGAAATCCCTCTGGTAAGTAGGCAGAAACAATCCTGTAAAGTTTATTTGGTTATCTTCACGGGGCAGATGAGAAAACGAAGGCTCAGATGTTAAGTTACGTATCCAAGGTCACACAGTAAGTGGCAGCATTTAGCTCCAGACTCAGCCTGGATGACTCTGAAATTAAAATCACACTGCAGTACTTCCTTTTTAAATTAAAACAAAAAACAAAAACTTTTTTTTTTAAAGCCCAGCATGGAGCCCAACACAAGGCTTGAACTCACGACCCCAAGACCAAGACCTGAGCTGAGAACAATATTCGGACCCTTAACCAACAGCCACCCAGATGTCCCTACGCCGTGGCACTTCTAATTCATGCAACCTAGACCTGCCTGAACCTGAACTTTTCTGTCTCTATGTTACACGCGCCAATTTATACCAAGCTTAAAGTCAACCAGCCACCCAAATGGATTTGGTATGAGCTGCTAAGCCACATTTTGCTATGCCCTCCTTGTGCCCTGCTGTTTCTGATTCACAGGCAAACTGCTGTTCTTATTCCTACATTCTGTGCATTCTATCTCTTGTTTGGCTTGCCTGATTTCCCTCTGTGAGAAACATCTTCTACTCTATAAATCTCTTGCTTTTTAAAAAGACCCAGCTTTAGCCTCAAACAACAGATCTAAGAACTCCACTCTTTTTGTTTTAGACATTCTCCCTCTTTTTCCTCCCTTGGCACTTTGCTTAATTGTAGCACTGTTTCCCAAGCCTGTGGGAAGAGGGATAAGGTGATCCTTACGGAAACACAGGACTTGGCACCAAGCAAGCACTCCTTTAATAAGTATTTCAGTGCTAATTAGAAGTTAGGGACTGTTCTAGGGATACAGAAAACAACAGATAATTCCAGCCCTCATGGCACTTACACTCACACTCACACACAAAAGTAAAATTTATAGCATGCCAGCAGGCGATAACTGTTCCTGAGAAAACAAAAGCCAGGAAGAGAAGAAATATGGGGGGTGGTAGAATTATACTTTTAAACAGGGTGGACAGGCAATACCTCATTGAGAAGGTAATATTTGAGTAAAATTATAGAAGTAAGGACATAAACCATGTATGCGGCTATATGGGGGAAGAGCTTTCCAGATAGAGGGAACAGGCAGTGCAAAGGCCCTGAGGTGGGAAAGAAGACTAGCAGAGAGGCCTATAAAACTGGACTGGCACCACATGGGGGGCTAACTATAGGACACACAGTCAGTGAGGTGCTGGGAACAAAACCATACAGGGTCTGTGGGCTCTTTCTGTGAGTTGGAAGCCACTGGATGATTTTGAGCCAGGAGGCAGGATCTAATAATACATATTTGCTGATAGCTGGAATGGAGCCAAGGCCCCATTAGGGGAGTTATGGGGCTAACCAAGGAAGTGAACTAATGTTTTCTGAGTTCTGACTAGGTGCCCGGCCTGTGCTAGGTGCTTTAATATCATCACCACCTCTATGACAGGGAGGTGTTACTATGGGAGCATTCTAAGCCATACCACGGCCTTTTGCCTGGACCATCATAACAGCCTCTTATTCAGTCTTCTCCACAGTGGCTAGTCATCTTTACAAAACGTGAATCTCATCATGCCATGCCTCCTTCCCCATCCTAAAGCCATCAATGGCTTTCCATACACTCAGAATAAAATCCCATCTCCACCATGGCCCCACCCCTCCCTGCTGGTCCTCTCCAGTGTTGTCACTGTCACTGTCACGGCCACCCCATTTTGCTCATGATCAAGTAATCCTGCTGGATTTCCTCTGAAGCACTTAGTACCACCCAAAATCATCTTGTTTTGTAAGATCTGTTTACATATTTACTGCCCGTCTTATAAGAACAAAAGCTCTTGGCACCTAAGTACTCTATATAAACACTGGTTAAGCAGTTAAGTTAATCAACAAACCAACTAAACCTAAACCCTCTTTCTCTTAAAATTAATTCAAAACACAGTGGTCAAGGACTTTATTATTTGTCAGGCACTGAACCAGGGATATGGTAAAAAACAAGACAAATGTAAACTTATGGCCAGTTTATAGTCTAGAGCAAGGGTTCTTAACATTTTTCTTCCATGGACTCCATTGGCAGTCTGGTGAAGACTACTGGCCACTTCTCAAAATGTTACTTCAATCATAAAAGACATAGGGATTACCAAGGAAACCAATTATATTGAAATATAGGTAACACAACTACTAAAAAAAGAAATTTGTGATATAGTAATATATGTGCTTAATTACTGCAACAAATAACAAGATCTAGGGATTTATTCTTGTGGTGATGAAAATGTTTTGATGTCTCTTCAATATTTTTAATGTGACATTAAAAAAAAAAAAACCTGTCACAATATTGCAAGTATTGCTAATTCTACTGTGGTTCGTTGATTACATTCATCATTAGGAAAATGCTGAATTTTGGCTAGAGGTTAGTGAAATGAAGATGTAATTTTTTCTAACGCAGGTTTGCCCTGAATTCTGTCCATAGGTCCTCTGGACCCCTGGTTAGGACTGCTGAACCCCTGGAGAAAAGTCTGGATGGCTCTTTGCTTCCAGAACTCAATTCAATTGCAATGCTTTGATACCATTTTGAAATCCAGAAGCAGAAGTACTTCTATACACATTACACAAGTCAAGAGCATTGTGACTCATGTTGGACATCACCTATTTATTCAGATTTTCTAGGAAATCAATAATCTATGAGCCAAAAGGAAAATAAGAAAAGTACCATCACCTTAATTTAGGAAAAAACCCTACCCAGCAGCGGTAATGGAATGGAACATGCCATGAGCTGATTTAAGGTTTTATTCCTGCCTCCTTAGAAAAAAACAACTCCAAACAAAATTACTTAAGCACCATTTTAGATGCAGAAATGTGATTTACAGCTGCCTCTATGTGTAAAAATTACAGGCTTATTTTCACTTTTAAGAGTACGATTGGATTTTGCACAAGGAAAAATATTTAAATATAGTATCTAAGCATATTTGTTCTTCTTTCTTGGCCTGGACTTGCTGTATCTTCTTCCA